AGTAGCGCTCGTGACCCTGTCCACGGACGCGGGCCGGGCCCCACACGTCCATGTGAAGCGTCTGCAGAGGAGCCTCTGTTGGGGGAAACTGGGAGGAGTGAGGGGCAGCCCGGAGCCGCCCCTCGACACAGGGGACACAGGAAGGTCCTCGCCCCGAAGGAAGGGGAGGGAGAGACCGGGGGAGACCAGAGACAAGGACACGGGAAGCCATGCCCCGAAGACGAGGCAAGGAGAGGTGGCCAAGACGGTGGTGCCACAAGAGAGTCTCGTGTAACAGGAGGCGACACGAGTAGGGGGCAGACTCAGGACCAGACCTGGACGCAGCAGCAAACACCTGACCCGACGCAGCTACCTGGCCAGACGCAGGGACTGGAGGAGACTCGACCCGGGCCGATGCGAAAACGTGGCTAGGTGTCGGCCTGTGCGGGCGTCCGAGTAGTGGGTCACCCGCTGACTCGCAGGAGTAAACTGGTCAACCCCCGCATCCTGCAGGTCAGCACCACTCACCAAGTTCGTCGAGAACGAGGGGAGGTACAGACCCGACAGGGTGCCCGAGGGGGCAGCCGGACACGGGAGGACAGTGGAGAAGTGAGAGAGGACAGGACCCCCAGAGGGGTCAGCCAGGGAGACTGCAACCGGCCGACCAAGCGGCGTGAGTGTGGTGCGGTCTCGAAAGAAGGAGCAAGAAGCCCCTGAGTCAAGTGTGAAGGTGAGGGAGGCCGAAGTAGACGCAGTACCTGAGAGCGCAGCCTCACCAGTACCTGAGAGTGCAGACGCACTGGCACCTAGAGCAGTAGCCTCACAAGCACCTAGCGCAGCAGTACCAATGCCCGGGTCGGGCGGGAAACACCGGTAACAGTCACCCTCATCACTAATAGTCACAGCATACATGGCAGCAAGGATAGCATCAAAGTCAAGATCAAAGATCGCTACGCCAGCCCTAGACAGCTCTCCCCGGCGGGGAATCTCACTAGCCTCGGGGAACTGCTGACGCCAAGCGTCCGTCAGGCGGCAAAAGCAGCGCTGGGTGGAGTGGGCACCCCCACACTGCTCACCCGCGCGGTCGCCGGAACGAAGAACGTAGGTGCACGGGCCAAGACCCCCACCACGCTGAAACTGCGTGTACCACTCACGGAGCTGCTGAGGCGGGGGGATGTCCCGAGAACGCTGCTGATGCTGCTGCTGCTGGCGCTGACCACCACCAGAGCCGCTCTGGTGCGGGGCACTACCCCGACCGGCTCCACCTCCTCCGCCACCGCCGCCTCCACCTCCGCCACCACCGCCGCCTCCGCTCCAACCGCCGCCGCCGCCATTGCCGCCGCCTCCGCTGCCGCCACCACCACCACCACCCCCACCACCACTCCCACCGCCACCCCCACTCCCTCCGCCACCGCCAATGCCACCTCCACCGCCCCCGGCAGCTCCACCCGCGCCCTTGCCCCCCTTGCCCTTGCCAGGGCGGCGTCTCCCGCTAGGGGCAGACGCCGCGCCGACCGACTCAAGACCAATCAGGTCGGCAGCAGCAGCAGAGGCAACAGAGGGCAGCAGGGGGGAAGGAGAACACCCCTCAAAGATGGAGGTGCGCGGGTCACCACGAGAGGCTCCTACAGCGACTATGCTCTTCTCCGCCGCTAGGAGGGCCTTCTCGAGGAGGTCGACAGTGAGGGTGGTGGGACAGAGTGAGAGGAAGTGGTCCCTGACTACGCAAAGGGAGTCAGGGAGGCGAGTGACTATGTAATAGAGAGCGATGTACATGGGGGGGGGGGGGGTTCCTGGCGCAGAACTCAGCAGGAAGTGCAGCGCGGTAGCGAGTGTCAGAAGTGCGGAGGTGCGTGATGAGGTCAGCGACTGTAGGAAAGGCAGCAAGGTCAGGAAAGAGGTACGGTAGCATGAGGCGGCTCAGTGCAGCAGTGGCAGGGGAAGAGTAGCACGCAACTACAGCGTCGTACAAGGTCTGAGCACTCTTGTACTGACTAAAGTGCGCGCGCTCAGTGGTAGGTAGGTGGCGACGCACAGCAAGACGTGCAGCAGCATCGCGGGTGGCCCACTGAGAGCGAACAGTGGGGTCAGCATCAGCAGCAGGAGCAGGGGAGGCGCAAGAGGTGAGGTCAAAGTGAGAAAGACCGTCCGCCCTATCGCACTGTAAGAACAGCTGCAGGTCGTCGACCCAGACCTCAAAGTCAATGGCTCGACCCTCAGCGTCAAAAGCGATGACACTAGGGGTAGCCATGACGACAGACTAGCAGTGCAAGCAGTGGGGGAAGGGCACGCAGTAGTAATGGGGCTGTGCTCACCAGACAGGGCAGGTCGGGCGGCTCGGCAGTAGTGCGGCTCGGCTGCGGGGCGGCTCGGCGGTACTGCCGCTCGGCGGCCCGGCGGCTCGGCGGCTGCTGCTGGGCTGCTCGGCTGTACTGCGGCTCCGCGGCCCGGCGTCTCGGCGGCTGCTGCTGGGCGGCTCGGCTGGACTGCGGCTCGGCGGCCCGGCGGCTCGGCGGCTGCTGCTGGGCGGCTCGGCTGCTCCGGTACCGGGCGGCGTGGCGGGCGGCTGCTCGGGCGGCTCGGCAGGAGGGGAGACCGGCGGGGCCGCGAAGGTGTGGGCGGCGGGGCCGCGACGCGAGGGCGGCGGGGCCGCGTAGGAGAAGGCGGCGGGGCCGCGTAGGCACGGGCGGCGAGGCCGCGAAGGTGAGGGCGGCGGGGCCGCGTAGGTGAGGGCGGCGGGGCCGCGAAGGTGAGGGCGGCGAGGCCGCGAAGGTGAGGGCGGCGGGGCCGTGTAGGTGAGGGCGGCGAGGCAGCGGAGGTGAGGGCGGCGGCGCCGCGTAGGTGAGGGCGGCGGGGATTGATGGAGACACACTTGGCAAAAAAGGAGTGCACGTTCAAGTGATGGACACACACTTGAAGGAAATCAGAGAGTGCTAGAAGTATAGACTAACTTACAAGGAAAGAGTATGCTTAGGATTGAAGATTCAACCAAGTAGGAAGAATCACAAGATGAATGAAGAGAATGAAAGGAGATGCTAGCAAAGGCATGAGAAAGTGCCCCAGTTTCATTGTGTGTTTTTCTGTTTCATTCTATTTCACTCTGTTTCATTCTGTTTCATTCCGTTTCATTCTGTTCCATTCTGTTTCAATTGCCTGCCCAACATTAAAGCACTTGAAGTTACTTCTTGTGATTAATGCCTTTTACAACACTCTAAACCTTGAAAACAGATCCAGAAACTGTCAACATATGACCTACAGATCATTGCTTTTGCCAAAAAAAATTCCTTCGAATTATTACTTAAGTTAAGCCTGGAAGGACCACCCACTGCCTTGCCATTGGGCAAAACGCATCGTCCAATGGCAAAAGGCTTGTTATTCTGCGCTGGAAACAAATTAAACATGAACCAAAAGAAACCAGTGGCGATTTTATTCACAGCACACTAAAAAACAGAGGAGTCATGTGTCACCATAACGTTATAGAAAAGTCGTCATGTGTAGGCAGTTACAACCGCATCAAATGACAGGAATGAGCAGTGTCGACAGCTGTAAGAAGAAGATAACTGTAAAAAAGATGCCAAAACAGTTGGCAACAAACAGGCGGGTTGGCACGTTTCCTCCGACCATCCCTTGAAAACGCGTTACTGTAGAATCGAAATCGAAATCGGGTAAGCAACTGCTAAATCGAATCTTCACTGCTTGTTCAGTAAGTTTCACGGCTACCAGACAAACGGCCCCAGCTGCACGGAAAATGTACACCGCGGAACGCATGATGTCAGAAGCGCTGTTCGAAATTTCCGCGCTACTGACGTCAGCAAGCTTTCACGCGCGAGACAAAATCGCAAGACGCCAGCAGCGCCGTTAGAAATTTCCGCGCAAATTTCCGTCGACGCTGAGAAAGTTAGAACGAGAATGAAATGACTAAGTGAAAGTTGGGTACGAATACAAACCCTAGAAAGCTGTACCCTATATGTGCTACCCCACTATATCCTACAATAGCTATGTCATATATATCTGACACACCCCCATAGGCAAAGTGGGGGAGTACAAGGGGTCACAAGACCAGTCAAGCAAAGCAAAGCAAAGCAAGCTCAGGGTGGATCACAAAGTCACCACACAGTCCGAGCACAAGGTCAAGGCCACAAGGCAAGTTCACATGCAGGAGTACACATATATATATAAGGCTAAACAACCAAGAGCAGGTATATATATATGTAAGAGTACAAGCAAGGTCAAGGGGTGAGCAAGTGAGGCAAGACAAGGACAAGACCCAGCTGAGTGCAGAAGCGCTGATGATCACAAGGCGGAAGTGCCTTGGTGAAAACATCAGCAGTGTTGGCCTCAGAGGCCACGTACGAAAGCCGCAACTGACCACGCTGCTGTAGCTCACGAGCAAGGAAGTAGCGAAGAGCAATGTGCTTTGTTCTATGCTCCAGTCTCTGTTCTCGACACAAGGCCAGCATGGCCTTGTTGTCTACGTACAGGATTGGAGGAGAACGAGGCGCCTCTCCAAGGTCGGTCAGCAGGTAGGTGAGCCAGCGAAGCTCCTGTGCAGCCATGGCCCCGGCGTAGATCTCAGCCTCACAACTGGAGCCCAGAACAGAAGACGAGCGAGTAGCCCGCCACGAAACAGAGCCGGAACCAAGGCTGAAGGTGTAACCGTGTCACAACCGCTGCATAGCCTGGTCGTCAGCCCAAGAAGCGTCCGCATGCCCAGTGAGGACCACTGGACTCCGCCCTCCTAGCACTAGCCCCATGCCCGACGTACTGCACAAGTAGCGCAACACCCGCTTAGCTGAAGCCATGTGCTCTGGTCTCTGTCTCCCAGGAGCAAGATAGCGTGCAAGAATGCTAAGAGGGTATGCAAGGTCAGGTCGAGTGCAGGTCATCAGGTACATGAGGCAGCCAACAAGCTCTGGGTACAGAGGCAGAGCTGAGAGCGAGTGGCGAGTAGACAGAGGAGTGGTCTGAGGCGAGGAGTACGTGAAGCCAAAGCGCTGAAGGACCTGCTGCACCATGTGTGACTAAGTCAGAGTAATGGTGCGGCGTGCTCTGTCCTGGGTGATCTGCAAGCCAAGGTAGCTGCGCAATTCACCCAGGTCTGTGCACATGTGTCTCTTCTGCAGCTCGGACTTCACGTGGGCGAGTCCAGCAGTATCACCAGTGGCAAAGACCAAGTCGTCGACGTACACGAGGATGTAGAATGGCGGCAAAGTAGTGTCGGTGCGTAGAAACAGCGACGGGTCGGCAGTAGAGGGAGCAAACCCAAGAGCCGCAAGCGTAGTCCTCAGTGTGTCGTGCCACTCACGCGCTGCCTGGCGGAGACCGTAGACTGGCCATCGGAGGCTCCACTGGGTGCCAGGAGGAAAAGTCCCAGTGAAGCCAGGTGGACGGCGCAGCCAGATCTCCTCATACAGGCTATTCTACAAGAAAGAAGTGCTGAAGTCAAGGGAGTGAAGCTCGTAGTCACGTTGAGCGGCTATGTGCAGCAGCACCTGAAGAGTGGTCATCTTTGGGGTGGGAAAGAAGGTTTGAAAGTAGTCAACTCCCTGCCACTGACTGAAGCCACGAGCCATGTACCGCGCCTTGAAGATAGGTGTAGAACCTGGCGGCCGCTTCACCCTGAAGATCCACATGCCACTGACGATGTTTGCCCCAGGTGGGGGAACCGCGTCAACGTAGGTGCCTGTGGAATTCCAGGAAGCCATCTCTGCATCCATAGCTGCCTGCCACTGAGAGGAGTAGGGACCCTCTACGGCCTCTGCGTAAGAGCGCGGAGTCGGGATGTCAAGTGCATCCGGGTCTCCCTCAGGGGTAAGCAGTACGGACACGAGATGGGGTGAAGCAGCAGCTAGACAGTGAAACTCCTCCTGCCTGTCCTCAAGGACGTCCGTGCCAAGAGCACACTCACCCCCGACGGACGGAGGACAGACAGACGCAGACTCAGCAACAAGACTAGCAGCCTAGTCTAGATGACATCGAGCAGCAAAGTCGACGAGCTCAGCAACAAGGGCAGACGCAGCAATGGACTCAAAAGAGGGGTCAGTGACGACAGTAGCAAGGAGACGCGTGACAGTAGGAGTGGCAGCACGAAGAGAGTCCGACTCCGGGTCAGCAAGAGAAGGAAGAGAGGATTCAGGAGGAGAAGGCAAAGGGACACGCAGAGGAGCAGTGGACGGACGCAGAGACATCCGGTGCGTGCCAGGGACAGGGGGAGGACGCTGACGCGAACCGCGACCACTAGCGCGAGCAGCACGAACAGGCGACGCAGGACAAGACGCAGGCTCACGACGCTCAGCAAGACCTCCAGTAGGACCAGTGTAGGGAGAGGAAGCAGGGAGTGGGGAGGCCGCCGGTAACTGTGACTGAGACTGGACAGGCGGTGGACACTCTACCAGAGGTGGAGGACCAAGAACCTGCTGAAGGAGCGGAATGAGGTACCGCCGAGGCCGCGCGGCGACTCCAGACACAGCAGGGACAGCACCAGCACCCTCAGCACCTCCAGCACCTCCAGCACTCTCAGCACCTCCGGCGGCACCAGCCCCAACAGCACCTCCAGCTGCACCAGCAGCACCCTCAGCACCTCCGGCAGCACCAGCGCCAACAGCACCTCTAGCTGCACCAGCAGCACCCACAGCAGGAACGCCGCCAGGACTGACAGCAGTAGTCTCAGCGCCAGCACCCTCAGTAGCCCCAGCTCTTGTTGGACGAGCACCTCCGGGACCAGCGGCACCAGCACCCTCAGCGGCCAAAGAAGCTCCAGCTTGAGCAGTACGCCGCCTGCGCCGGGCAAACCACTCGCGCAACTCTTGTGGAGAGAGCGGCTCTCGCCGAGAATAGCCTGGAGAACCACCAAGCCCAGCACCGCCAGACGCCACACGAGCAGGTCCAGCGGCCGCGGGCTCCGCACCCCCAGGCTCAGCAGCTCTAGACACAGCACACCCAGGCTCAGCAGCTCCAGATGCAGCACCCCTAGGCTCAGCTGCTCCAGACGCAACACCCCTAGGCGAAGGACCCCCAGGCTCAGCACCCCCAGTCGTAGCACCCCCAGGCTCAGCACCCCCAGTCGTAGCACCCCCAGGCTCAGCACCCCCAGTCGCAGCACCCCCAGGCTCAGCACCCCCAGGCGCAGCACCCATTCACGCAGCACCCCCAGAGTCAGCACCCCCAGGCTCAGCACCCGCAGCAGTACCAGAGTCACCAGCAATCTCGACAGGCTCGACTTCGTCTACCTGGGACACACCTGAAGGGGCAGGACCCTGAGGGGGGAGGGGGTCTACCTGGGGAGGACTTGGCACAAGGAAGTGCGGCGGCGGGGGGAGGGAAGGAGTGCGGTAGGGGAAGAGACGGTAGTAGGGGACCGACTCGTCAAAAGTGACGTCCTGGGAGGACAGAACACGACGAGAGGAGGGGTGATAGAACTGCCACCCTGGTGCGTCAAGGGGGAAGCCAAGGAAGACACAAGGAGCAGCACGAGGGGACAGCTTGTCCGCAGACAAGTCGCGGACAAACGCCCGAGATCCCCAGACACGGAACGCAGATGCATCGCCTACCTTCCCCGTCCACAGCAGAGTTGGGGAGGTCTCCGGCATGGAGACCCTGGGGTGAAGGTTGATCTGATGCGCCGCGTACCGAACCGCAAACGGCCACAGAAAATGGGGGGCAGCCGCATGCATCATGGACGTACGAGCGACGTCCATGACCATGCCAATGCGGCACTCAGCAATCCCATTTTGCTGTGGAGAGTCCGGAAGCGTAAAGGTCTGGCGGATGCCTCGCGCACGGCAGTAGGCTCGCAAAAGGCCAGAGGAGAACTCTCCGCCTCGGTCAGAGTGCAGACGCAGAACAGGAAAGTCCGAGCCAAAGCTCCTCCTGAGCTGGAGACGAGCTGCGCGGATCCAGTCGATCAACACCTCAGTGACATCACCCTTGCTGCGCAAGGGGAAGACAGTGGTGTAACGCGAGTAGTCCTCAACCACCAGCAGGAAGTAGCACTCGTGACCCTGTCCACGGACGCGGGCCGGGCCCCACACGTCCATGTGAAGCGTCTGAAGCGGGGCCTCTGTCGGGGGAAACTGAGAGGAGTGAGGGGCAGCCCGGAGCGGACCCTCGACACAGGGGACACAAGAAGGACAAGGCCCTGGAGGAAGGGGAGGGAGGGACCGGGGAATACCAGAGACAAGGACACGGGAAGCCATGCCTCGAAGACGAGGCAGGGAGGGGTGACCAAGACGGTGGTGCCACAGGAGAGTCTCGTGTAACAGGAGGCGACCCGTGCAGGGGGCAGACTCAGGACCAGACCTGGACGCTGCAGCAAACACCTGACCCGACGTAGCTACCTGGCCAGACGCAGGGACAGGAGGAGACCCAGTGGTCAGGGTGTAGAGGCTCGACCCCGGCCGACGTGTAAACGTGGCCAGGTGCCGGCCTGTGCGCGCGTCCGAGCAGTGGGTTACCCGCCGACTCGCAGGAGTAAACTGGTGAACCCCCGCATCCTGCAGGTCAGCACCACTCACCAAGTTCGTAAAGAACAAGGGGAGGTACAGACCAGACAAGGTGCCAGAGGGGGCAGCCGGACATGGGAGGACAGTGGAGAAGTGAGAGAGGATAGGACCCCCAGATTGGTCGGCCAGGGAGACTGCAACAGGCTGACCAAGCACCGTGAGTGTGGTGCGGTCTCGAAAGAAGGAGCAAGAAGCCCCTGAGTCAAGTGTGAAGGTGAGGGAGGCCGAAGCCGACGTGGTACCTGAGAGCGCAGCCTCACCAGTACCTAAGGGCGCAGACGCACTGGCACCTAAAGCAGCAGCCTCACTAGCACCTAGAGCAGCAGTACCAATGCCCGGGTCAGGCAGGGAACACCGATAACAGTCACCCTCATCACTAACGGTCACAACATACATGGCAGCAAGGATAGCATCAAAGTCAAGATCATAGATAGCGACACCTGCCCTAGACAGCTCTCCCCAGTGGGGGATCTCACTAGCCTCCGGGAACTGCTGACGCCAAGCGTCTGTTAGGCGGCCAAAGCAGCGCTGGGTGGGGTGGGCACCCCCACACTGCTCACCCGCGCGATCGCCGGAGCGAAGGACGTAGGTGCACGGACCAAAACCCCCACCACGCTGACGCTGCGTGTACCACTCACGGAGCTGCTAAGGAGGGGGAATGTCCCGAGAACGCTGCTGCTGCTGCTGCTGCTGCTGGCGCTGACCACCACCAGAGCCGCTCCGCTGCGAAGCGCCACCCCGACAACCACCACCTCCTCCACAACCGCCTCCTCCACCTCCGCCACCACCGCTGCCTCGGCTACCACCGCTACCGCCTCCGACGCCTCCGCCTCCACTGCTGCCACCGACACCTCCACCCCCGCCACCACTCCCACTGCCACCCCCACTCCCTCCGCCGCCTCCACCGCCACCTCCACCACCCGCGCTAGCTCCACCCGCGCCCTTGCCCCCCTTGCCCTTGCCAGAGCGGCGTCTCCCGCTAGGGGCAGACGCCGCACCGACCGATTCAAGACCAACGAGGTCGGCCGCAGCAGCAGAGGCGACAGAGGGCAAGAGGGGGGAAGGGGAACACCCCTCAAAGATGGGGGTGCGAGGGTCACCACGAGAGGCTCCTATAGCGACTATGCTCTTCTCCGCTGCTAGGAGGGCCTTCTCTAGGAGGTCAACAGTGAGAGTGGTGGGACAGACTGAGAGGAAGTGGTCCCTGACTACACGAAGAGAGTCAGGGAGGCGGGTGACTATGTAATAGAGAGTGATGTACATGGGGGGGGGGGGGGGGTTCTTGGCGCAGAACTCAGCAGGAAGCGCAGCGCGGTAGCGAGTGTCACTAGTGCGGAGGTGTGTAATGAGGTCAGCGACTGTGGGAAAGGCAGCAAGGTCAGGGAAGAGGTACGGTAGCATGAGGCGGCTTAGTGCAGCAGTGGCAGGGGAAGAGTAGCGCGCAACTACAGCGTCGTACAAGGTCTGAGCACTCTTGTACTGACTAAAGTGCGCGCGCTCAGTGGTAGGCAGGTGGCGACGCACAGCAAGACGTGCAGCAGCATCGCGCGTGGCCCACTGGGAGCGAACAGTGGCGTCAGCATCAGCAGCAGGGGCAGGAGAGGCGCTAGAGGTGAGGTCAAAGAGGGAGAGACCGTGTGCCCTATCGCACCGTAGGTAAAGCTGCAGGTCATCTACCCAGACCTCAAAGTCAATGGCCCGACCCTCAGCGTCAAAAGCGAGAACACTGGGGGTAGCCATGACAGCAGTAGACTAGTAGTACCAACTGTGGGACAGGGGCAGTGGAGTGACAGAAGCGCTGCTCTCACCAGACAGGGCGGTTTGGGCAGCTCAGCAGCACAGCAACACGGCAACACGGCGGCTCAAACGGCTCAGCGGCAACTGCGGCTCTGCGGCACCAGCGGCTCGGCTCCTCAGCGGCTCAGGCGGCTCGGACGGCTTGGGCGGGTAGGGCGGCTCGGGCGGGTTGGGCGGCTTGGGCGGCTCGGGCGGCTCGGGCGGCTCGGGCGGCTCGGTCGGCTCGGGCGGCTCGGGCGGCTCGGGCGATGTAGGGCGGCATGGCCGAAGGTAGGTGGCGGGGCCGCAAGGTAGGTGGCGGGGCCGTAGTGAGAGGGGCGGCGGGGCCGCAGTGAAGGGCGGCGGGGCCGGAAGGTAGGCGGCGGGGCCGCAGTGAAGGGCAGCGGGGCCGTAACGAGAGGGGCGGCGGGGCCGCAGCGGAGGGCGGCGGGGCCGTAAGGGAGTCGGCGGGGCCGCAGCGAGAGAGGCGGCGGGGCCGCAGCGAAGGGCGGCGGGGCCGCTCAGACGGGCGGCGGGGCCGCAGCGAAGGGTGGCGGGGCCGCAGTGAAGGGCGGCGGGGCCGCCGTGAAGGGCAGCGGGGCCGCAGTGAAGGGCGGTGGGGCCGCAGTGAGAGGCGGCGGGGCCGCAGCTAAGATCGGCGGGGCCGCAGCGAATGGCGGCGGGGCCGCAGTGAGAGGGGGCGGGGCCGCAGCGAAGACCGGCGGGGCCGCAGCGAAGGGCGGCGGGGCCGCAGCAAAGGGCGGCGGGGCCGCAGCGAAGGGCGGCGGGGCCGCAGCGAAGGGCGGCAGGGCCGGGACAGGGCGGTGCCGAGGCCGTAGGGCTAGGGCGACGGGGCCGTAGGGCTAGGCGACGGGGCCGCTAGAGAGATGGGGCCGCTAGGGCATTAGGGCCGCTAGGGCATTGGGGGCCGCTAGGGCGGCTCGACGAAGTGAGAGAGGGGAGCGCGACTCGGGCGGAGCGCGCTCCGGGCAGGAAAAAAAAGTTCGATGTGGTGGGCCCTAGGCACAGTTCCCACGAGGGAACCTGCTCGATACCATGAGAAAGTTAGAATGAGAATGAAATGACTAAGTGAAAGTTGGGTACAAATACAAACCCTAGAAAGCTGTACCCCATATGTGCTACCCCACTATAGCCTACAATAGCTATGTCATATATATCTGACAGACGTTGCTGACGTCAGCAATTCGCTCTAATTACAGTCCTGTCAAATCATAACACATAAACAAACGTTTGAGAACTGAAATTGTATGAAACGCAACTACCACGTATACACATTATCATAAAAAATTAGTAACCTGTCCTCAACTATATGTCAAAACATCTGTATTTCATGATTATTTTAAAACATGGAAATCACACAATTTACTACAATCCAACAACGACAAAGAAATCAAAGTCGTTCTAAATTCTTACGCATGTTACGAGTGTTGCTTCGCAACCCTAAGATGATTTCGTCGCCTCTTGGTTTTTTTTTTGCTCGCCTTGTCATCCACTTGGTAAGACGTGGTTGTGCATGCCTTTAGTGCATGTGGGCTGGTGCTTTGAACCATGGACATGCTTGTCCATCGTGCTTTGTCTTGTTCTCTCTCTCTCTCTCTCTCTCTCTCTCTCTCTCTCTCTCTCTCTCTCTCTCTCTCTCTCTCTCTCTCTCGTGCGCGCTTTCTCTCTCTCTCTCATGCTCTGCACCTCCTCTGTGGTGTCTAGAGGCTCTTTGCAAAAATACTAAACCAAGGAACTTTTTATTAAATCAACCAACACACATTGCAATGCTTCCTAGCATTCATCACCCCACCGGGTGGCCAAATACATGGGACCGAAGGGTTGTTGTTCCCCTTCCCTATCCTAGGCCCAAAGCCTATTACTACCCTTCACTAGGGCTGGCCTCTTGCCATCGCAAACCCCTAGGGCTGCCCACGGTTTCCGCACTCAAGAATGCACCGTGCCTAGCGCCCAAGGCGCCTAATCCCTTGGCCCGCTCCTACACCACCGGAGCGGGTCCTTGGCCTCCATGCCCGTTCCTAGGGCAGGCACTTGCCACATGTCCCGCCTGGCCGCAGCGGAAGAACGAGCCCCGAAACCCACGACAATTGGCCGTGGGCGGGGGGGCCTGTCAAACATTATATATGTTGTGTTAGTTTAGGCTAGAGTGGGTTAGCCTATAGGGGGTACACAATTCTAGGGTTAGGTACTTGTACTGTTTTCACTACTAGTTCCATTCATTCCTGTTCAGTTATTCCAACATGGTATAGAGCAGGTCCTTCCTAGGACCGAAATTTTCAACGGGCCCACCACTACGTAACTACCTACCTACCTACCTACCTACCTGTGCCCTAGGGCGCCTCGGTGTGTCACGACCCTAGAGGCCCCTCTTGACGGCCCCGCGCTAGCCCTGTTCAGGCCCCGTCGGCCCCGTTTCAGGCCCCGTCGTCCCCGCGCTATCCCCTCTCAGGCCCCGTCGGCCCCGCGCTAGCCCCATTCAGGCCCCGATAGGCCCCGCGCTAGACCCGTTCAGGCCCCGTCGGCCCCGTTTCAGGCCCCGTCGGCCCCGCGCTAGCCCCGTCCAGGCCCCGTCGGCCCCGTGCTAGCCCCGTTAAGGCCCCGATCGACCCGCGATAGCCCCGTTCAGGCCCCGTCGGCCCCGTTTCAGGCCCCGTCGGCCCCGTTTCAGGCCCCGTCGGCCCCGCGCTAGCCCCGTTCAGGCCCCGTCGGCCCCGTTTCAGGCCCCGTCGGCCCCGTTTCAGGCCCCGTCGGCCCCGCGCTAGCCCCTTTCAGGCCCCGTCGGCCCCGTGCTAGCCCCGTCGGCCCCGCGCTAGCCCCGCTCAGGCCCCGATCGGCCCCGCGCTCGCCCCTCTAGGGCCCCAACCGGCCCCGTGCCGACCTCGCCGACCTGTGCCCACTGCTCCTAGAGGCCCCGGACGGCCCGTTCCCGCCGCAGCCCGCGACCGAACCGAGCCGCGTGACCCGAGCCGCGCGACCCGAGCCGCGCGCCCCGAGCCGAGCTGCGCGCCCTGAGCCGAGCCGCGCAACCCAGCCGAACCGCGCGACCCGACCTGAACCGAGCCTCGCCGCCCTGCCCTACCTGGTTCGTCCTACTTGCTTCTCCTACTGCTACTGCTGCTATTTCTACTGTTCCTATGGCAAGCCCACAGGTTCTCGTGTTCGATGCTGAGGGCCGCCCTGTGAAGTTTGACACCTGGCTCGATGACCTGCACCTCTACCTACAGCTCACAGCCAAGGATGACATCTCACTGTACGATCACGCCCTAGGCCATGTCACTGCCCCTGCTGCTACTGCTGACAGCACTGCTCGCTCACAGTGGCAGACTCGTGATGCCCATGCTCGCTTCGCCATTCGCAACTCCCTGCCGATAGACGAACGCGAGCACTTTGGTCAGCACAAGACTGCACAGGCATTGTACACAGCTGTAGTTGCTCGCTACTCCTCACCTGCCTCTGCCGCGCTAGGCCGTCTCTCCCTCCCCTACCTGTTTCCCGACCTGGCCTCCTTTCACACAGTCGCTGACCTCATCACGCACCTCCGTACTAGTGAGGCTCGCTTCCGTGCCGCCATGCCTGCTGAGTTCCTTGCCACGCATCTCCCTCCACTCTGGCTCACTCTCTACCACCTAGTCACCCGCCTCCCTTACACACTGCGTGCTGTCAGGGACCACTTCCTAGCTCGTTGCCCCACTGAGCTCACCATTGCCCTCCTCGAGAAGGAGCTACTTGCAGGTGAGACTAGCATATGTCAGAATATTATCTTATTGTTCTAGCCACTCGTGACGTAGAGGAGAAGCCCGCCGCGCGCCACGGGGCGCACAGCGGGCAATGAACCGCCGCGCGCCTCGGGGCGCACGGCGGGCAGAAAACCGCCGCGCGCCTCGGGGCGCACGGCGGGAGGAAAAAGTAGCAGCGGAAGCAAGGTGGGGACACACCCACAGGATCGATCCAAGGGGATCGACCTGCTCTGATAGCATGTCAGGTCTCCACCTCCCCTCGTTCTCTACAAACTTGGTGGCAGGATGTGCGCTCCAGGACGGGGGTGTTCACCAGTTCACCCCTGCCTACGAGCGCGTGACACACTGCACGTGTGCCCGTACGGGCCGTCACTTGGCTACCTTCACTCGGCAGCCGGGGTCGGACCTGTACACACTGACTACTGAGTCCCCTCATGTTGCTGCGTCTGCGTCCGCGTCCGCGTCAAGTCAGCTGTCCGCCCCCTGCTCGTGTCGCTCTCTGGCACACGAGACTGTCCTCTGGCACCACCGCCTTGGCCACCCGTCTGTGCAACGCCTTCGTGCCATGCACTCCCGGTACCTTGTCTCTGGCCTGCCCAGGGTCCTTCTTGCCCTCCCACCCTCGCCTGCTCCTACCTGTCTCCCCTGTGTCAAGGGACGGCAGCATGCCGCTCGTCACTCCTCCTCGTTCCCCTCGAAGACTGCTCCCTTGCAGACGCTCCACATGGACATGTGGGGCCCAGCCCGCGTCCGTGGTCAGGGTCAGGAGAGGTACTTCCTGATAGGTGCTGACGACTACTCGCGCTACACCTCGGTCTTCCCCTTGCGCACCAAGGGTGAGGTCCCTGATGTCTTGAACCCTTGGATCCGCAGAGCCCGTCTCAAGCTCAACGAGCGTTTTCACTCGGACTTTCCTGTCCTACGCTTGCACTCTGAAAGAGGTGGTGAGTTCTCCTCCGACCTCTTGGCAGCCTACTGTGCTGAGCACGGCATTGAGCAGTCGTTCACGCTTCCGACCTCTCCACAGCAGAATGGGGTTGCGGAGCGCCGCATTGGCCTGGTCATGGAGGTCGCCCATACCTCCTTGATCCATGCGGCTGCCCCCCACTTTCTGTGGCCGTTTGCAGTCCGGTACGCTGCGCATCAGCTCAAACTCTGGCCCCGTGTCTCCTTGCCGGAGACCTCGCCCACACTGCAATGGACGAGGGAGGTTAGCGATGCGTCACGTTTCCGGGTCTGGGGGTCTCGAGCTTTTGTTCGCGATACGTTTGCGGACAAGCTCTCCTCCCGTGCTGTTCCCTGCGTCTTCCTCGGCTTTGTCCCGGACGCGTCTGGTTGGCAGTTTTACCACTCCACCTCGCGCCGAGTCTTGCCCTCCCAGGATGTCACTTTTGACGAGTCCGTCCCCAACTACCGCCTCTTCCCCTACCGCACTGCCCCGCTCCCCCCCCCCGCCTCTCTTCCTCGCCCCAGGTGCTGCTGTTGCAAAACCCCTCCCCACTCAGGGTGCCGCTCCCTCAGGTGTGTCTCAGGTAGACCTGGTTGAGCCTATTGAGGTAGCTGTCGACTCTCGTCCTGCTGGGGGTGCTGAGCCTGGGGGTCTGGAGCCTGGGGGTGTGGAGCCTGAGGGTGTGGAGCCTGGGGGTGTGGAGCCTGGGGGTGTGGAGCCTGGGGGTGCTGATCTTGGGGGTGTGGAGCCTGTGGGTGTGGAGCCTGGGGGTGTGGAGCCTGGGGGTGCTGAGCCTGGGGGTGTGGGGCCTGGGGGTGCTGAGCTTGGGGGTACTGAGCTTTGAGGTGCTGAGCCGCAGAGTCCAGAGTCTGGGGGTTCTGGGTCAGGAGGTACTGGGCCTGGGAGTCCTACACCTGGAGGATCCCTCTCCTCAAAGCAGCTGCGTACGTGGTACTTAGAGTACTGCAGCCTCTGGAGAGGTTCCGCTCGTGCCGGACGTACTTCTGGGACTGGTGCTAGTGCTTCTTCTCCCGTTAGGGAGCTCCCCTCCCGCGAGCGGATCCGTTAGTGGTACGAGCGGCGCTGCACTCTTCGGGGTGGCGTGCCTCGTGTTGCGGACAACGCTGCTGTTGGAGCTGCTGCTGGTGCTAAGGACCCAGGCGTTGGAGCTGCTGCTGGTGCTGCGGACCCGGGCGTTGGAGCTGCTGCTGGTGCTGAGGACCCGTGCGTTGGAGCTGCTGCTGATGCTGCGCACCCGGGCGTTAGAGGTGCTGCTGGTGCTGAGGACCTGGGCGTTGGAGCTACTGCTGGTGCTGAGGACCCGGGCGTTGAAGCTGCTGCTGGTGCTGCGGACCCGGGCGTTGGAGCTGCCGCTGGTGCTGAGGACCTGGGCGTTGGAGCTGCTGCTGGTGCTGAGGACCCGGGCGTTGGAGCTGCTGCTGGTGCTGCGGACCCGGGCATTGGAGCTGCAGCTCGTACAGAGGATCCGGGCATTGGGCCTGCTGCTGGTGCTGCGGACCCTGGTGCGGGTGTCCCTGCTGGCTCTGGTGTCGCTACACGGTCACGGCCGTACTTTGTTCCGCTCCTTCAGCAGGTTCTTGGTCAGCTCCCTCCTCCTTGTCCTCCTCCCTCCTTAGCGTGTCCTCCATCTGTCCAGTTGCAGACGCCGTTACCGTCTGCCTCCTCTCTCCCTGGTCCTGCTCGTTACACTGGTCAGACTGGAGGTCTTACTGAGCGTCGTGAGCCTGAGTCTCGTCCTGCGTCGCTTGAGTCTCGTCCTGAGTCGCCTGTCCGCACTGCTCTCTCTAGTAGTCGTGTCCAGTGTCAGCGTCTTCCTGCTGTCCCAGGCACTCACCGGCTGGCGCTTCGTCCGTCCACTGCTCCACAGCGTGTCCCACCGCCGTCTCCTCCTGCTTCCTCTCTTCCTGCTCTTGCTGACCCTGGGTCAGACTCTCTTCGTGCTGCCAGTCCTACTGTCACGCGTCTCCTAGCTACTGTTGTCACTGACCCTTCCTTTGAGTCTGCCTTAGTTGCTGAGCTTGTCAACTTTGCTGCTCGCTGTCATCTAGACTACGCGGCTAGCCTAGTTGCTGAGTCTGAGTGTGTCTGTCCTCCGTCCGTCG